CTACTGTCTATTAATTCTGAGTAAAGTATGGACATGAAGAACCAATATCAACATGCAGGCAATTCATGGTAAAGGCATATGGTTAGGCCATAATTACAGAGAACTGTCTGCAAGAACTACACCAACAGACCTGATAAGTGCAAGAATTTCCCCCTGTATCTTCATCCATCTGTGCTGGGATCTAACCTATGTTTTGAGTTCAATGGGAATTTCAAGGCCAGGGCCATTCTCTTCCTACATTTGCCTTGTACAATGAAGGCCACATGGCATCTGTAACTGGGCTTTGTGCTCTAATTTGTTCTGGCAGTCCGTTCTTGCTGGAGTGTTTCTGTGTTCTGAATGATTTAACACAGTTTACCATTTTGTATCAATCTTGTCTTTCCAAGATTAAATTGACCAAAATGTATTCAAGACCTGGAAAAAGTCTGCAACAGATGTAAAGTGGCATCTGGTTACTAATTCATATGGGCTGCATTCCGAGTTTCTGTCTGTGGGATTGATACCCAGGCTGTACAGACACCCAGAGGGGATGAATTACTGTAGATTTAAAATTTGACAAACCCATGCATAGAAGGGAGTGTTGTAGCACTGTGTTTAGAAATCTCTGTGGGAATCAGTACGTAATTTATAGTGTACATAAAGATGGATCCATAAGTGGTGACTTACGTTATTCTATATTGAAAGGCACCAAAACAGCCATGTTAGTTTTTTGTTCCTTAAAGATTTATGAGTGTTTTAAATGTACTGTATCCATTCATTGAATTGATTAAAATCAATTAATCTAAGATAAGTGGCAGCATTTCAAGTACTAAAAAACCAAGCAAAGAAAAACATATCTAAATTTCTACTCTAAAATCTCAGAAACACTTGATGTTATTCATCTTGGCTTGACTGCTATGATCCTAGTGCCCTTTCTCCTCCACGATGTGCACTTGTCAGCACTGATGACCATTTTTGCTCACCGCGAGCTCTTCAGTGCTAAAAGAAGAGGAAGCATTGATAGAAGAGATGTGTCTCTTGATGACAGCACTGTAAGCTCAGAGCTCACAGAGGCCAGTCAAATCACAGGAGTTCCAGCTGCACTGTGAGCTGATGATACCCCAGGTAATCAAGACCACTAAACCCCATCTAGTTGAACACAAGAAAATAAGGTTGCAAGGATGCCGGAGCCCTTACCAGGAACAAGAGGATGTTAAGGGATGGGTTACAAATGGGAAGAGGCTATTTAACCTGCTTAGCTTATTTGGTTGCCAATGGCTTATTGAAGATCACACCCATACATTTTGTGAAGGTTCTTAAGGAATCAACTTAGCAGGTTATTTTGGAAACACACAACACTTTGTGTACAAAATTCTACTGTACAGTACATACAGTATACTGTACTTCCAAGTAAGGTGAAGGTGTGTGCCATCAAGTCCTATGTTAAGTGCTGAGCATAAAACAATTCAGGTTTTGGTATTTTCCCATTAGATTGAGATATGGAATTATTCTTGTTGCTCTTCTTTAAGCTTTATCTAAGACACCAATATCCTGTACACAGCATTGTAGATTGTACACAGTATTCTGAGATATAAAAAGTGCATTGCATAACTTTTACAATCCTTTCTTTGAAATAAATAATACAACTGTTACTACAGTACATACCATAGTATTTATTTGGATGTATTATTTGCTTCACTACATTGTCTCAACATTGCTTAAATTCAGCCCAGTGTTGCATTTCAGAATGATACCTTTTCTCTTTGAACCACTCATATTTTACATATGTTTAAATCACTGAAAATGAAGAAGCGATGACAGCTTTTTATACAAACACGTAAATACATCATCTTAGGCTTGAGCCTCTGCCTCTAATGACATTGTTAATTAACATTCCCAAGGGGTCATGCACAATCAGCTTAGTGCTACCAGTATTTTATTGGTATTAGTTGGTCAGCTGTGTGTTAGGTTTGCGATAAATCAGTGACCAGTGATACTTTCTTGGCATTCACAGACTTGCAGTGACATCAATGAGAGGCATGTTACTCCTCCAATCGGTACCAGCTCTCCTGTCAGTCACTGTGGGGCCAAGAGTATGTGAACAGATGAATGGCTTAATGAGTGAGGGCTGGCAGAACCTGTCTGCCCGTTCTCAATCTCTCACAGGCAACAACACAATGAGTGCAGATGTTAACAACTCGTTGTTTCCAAACTGAACATAAATTGAAAAATACCAAAAGCTGATCAAGAAAACATTTATGCAGCAGTACTTAAGGAATTTTATTTAAAGTTATTTGCATTACCTGAGAACAATTTAAAAGTTTGAAGGTGGCAACAGAAGGAATGGACTGTAAGTATGGAAAAGCAGGGGGTTTTACTTAACTAATATTCACAAAGATAGTTGGCGTGTATTTGAAGTTCAGTTTTTTCACTGGAGAAAAAAAGTTTTCAGTTTCCTGGTAATTTACAGTACTATGCTGTGCTTAAGAGAACGGTTAAGCTAGAAAAACTGGAAAAATGTATGAAAGTGACAAATCAAACATGAAAAGAGTTTGACTTTTACTGGAAGTATAATAACACAATGCAATAAGTGGAGGCGAAAAGGTCTGGGCTTAAACTTACCTGCTGATTTATTTACTTGGTTACTGAGCTTTTAATCTTTCTAAGTGTCTATTCATGTTCTTTACCCAGGCAAGGGAATTTCAAAATAATTTTAATTATGAGAAGCGCACTAAATGGCCAGGACAATGCGATGTGTTTATGAAACAAAATAAATTATTTCTTTCAGTTGTAATGCACCTTATTTTCTGATCTTCCTTTATGTAATGTACACTAGACTAACATACACTCTAGGGATGAACATAAACACCATGAAAACAGCCTTTATAAAACACTGGCCCTCCCGCTTTAGATATCCTCCAGTTTGTATTGCTACAGTAAATGCTATCCACCATGTAGCTTGAGTTACTCACACTTATCAGGCACTATCTTTTAGACCTTAGACTTTCTGTACCTGCAGCTTTCGGCTTATTAACGGCTCTCATATATTGCCTCAGGATAACAAACATTACCAGAAAATGCTTGCAGGTGAAAGCAAAACAAACAAACAAATTACAGCTAAGGGGACTTTAGCAACACAAAAGCCAATTTAATTTAATTTAATTTTTTTAGAGGCTGATGTTTATTTTTCAAATACTGCATATCGTTTATAATGTATATAATTTAATAATATTGTTTATTATTGAAAGTTGCTTAATATGAAATATCTAATACTGTATATCATATCTTAATGTGAAAAGAAATTTGAATCTCAATTTTTTTCAGCAAGTAAAACATTGGCAAACAGAAAAAAGTTTAGGTTTTATGTAGTGCAATTAATTTCAGAATACCATGTAGAAATCTGATATACGGTACATTTTTCTTAATGAATAATCAATCATTCTGACAGCACCTTGCATTGCCAACAATAAATCATGAGAATTTAAAGTAAGGTCTGTTGCACAAGAACTGGAAATTTGTAATTATTCTATTTCATATCATAATTAAAGACTTGCAGTTACAGTATGTAATTGGTCCTCAAGACATTTTTAAGCTTTGTGCAATTTCACTGTATGCTTCTTCAGAATGCTAGTATCATTAGATCTGATCCTTTTGCTTGTGAAAATTGTGGTTTGCAGGTTTCCAGATAGACTTGCTCCTCATTTGGAGTACAGCACCTCTGAGTTTAATGTTTTATAGCGTGTTCTGCCATGCACTGACCCTGTGCACACCTGCAATGACAGATAATGTTAATATCCAATGATGCAGGATGCTGGAATGACCGACGCTACACCTGTGTCTTATCTTTTCCATTAAACTGGATGTATCATTGCAACAAAATAACTTTTCATTTTCATTTTCGTAGCAGAAAGAAAATTTGATTTTCAGAGTTTTCAGAGGAAGATTTCCTCTTCCACATGGAAGACCGATGGGGACCTTAGCACATAAGTACACACACCACATCAATATTTTACTCGTGGTCCAGCAGGGATCTTGGCTTTGCTGTGTAGGTTCAAACACAAACAAACAAAAAACTGTACAAAATAAATGAAAACCCTTCTGCCCCGTAGCTCTTACTACACACAGTGACAGTACAACTCAGTATGAAACACAACACAAAGGATTAAACAGACTGACCCGCTGCAGATCTCGCCACTGTATAGCTACTACCTTGTACCAAAAAGGGTCTGTTGACCCCCCAAGGTGCCAAAGATGCCTCTTAAATACACCTGATCAGTGGATTTACTCCACTTGTCAGTGCTTTGACAATAATTATACCCAAGTATTCCACTACAACATTCTGTTTATTATATTACAGTTTTTAATAGTTCGTACATTGGCATCCTGTATTTGCAGCCCATTGTCCTTGTACACCCACCCAAAATGAGGCAGCTGTTTTGAGGTGATCATCCCAATGTCTGTCTGTGCATGGAATTCTGTAGCACCTGACCTGGGCAGCCTAGACAACTATTAAAGTAATGCACCAAAAGCTGAATCCCTCTTCAGGGGGGATTGAATTAGATATTGGTACTAGTCCCAAGAAAGTAAACTCTTATCTTACACAATGAGACCTCTTCTGCATGCACAATTAATATATATATACAGTATGCTGTTACCAAATCCATTTCTGCAATTACAATATTATTTAGTACTTAGGACTCACTCAACAACTTTGCTTAACAATTATTTCAATGCATCTTTTTATCTTTTTTTTAACCTTTTATTTCAGTTCCTCAGACTTGTAGACTGTTTATGAAAACTCCCTTTTAATTAATTTCACTATCACCAAATAATTCTCTTTATACAGTATATGGGTGTGCATAACAATTGTACATTACAAAATCAGAAGCCTTTTTGATTTACAGTAAGTAGAAGAAAGAGATGTCTTAATCCTCTTGCACTTTTGGATTGGCACAGCCATTTTGATTGCGATTTTTGTTTTAGAGCAGCTCTTTTAGGAGTTTTTTTTAATGGAACTGCAGGCACCGCTGTTCCCTGAGTGGAGAGGACCTGAACAGGCAGTGGCTGAAGCCAGACCCGACTCTCAGCCCTACAATATACCACACCAAAGGCTTCCTCTACTACCTCAACAGCATTGGGAGAGCCCCACTGGTAAGACTGGCATTAACGACTGTCTCCAAATTGGCCATCGTGAGGTTACAGTAGCTATGGGCCTATCTGGCAAGATCACTACTATCTCTATATTCACACACATTGAACTTAACATTAGATGTAGACTTGCCTGGTGCAGGATTTAAGAGTTAGGCACAACTTGCTATAAGAAAGAGCTGTTACAAATTCAGGATATACAGTACCATCTAAAATTCCTAGCTTCTTGAGTGTTTCTCGCAAGTACAAAAAATGCAGTGGTTTTGTCTTTACAAGCTGATTAAATCTGAATTTTTCAGGGAGCCTGGTTTAAAAAGATAAGCATCAATTTCTACTTGTTTTCATAAATATTATTTTAATATCTGGCGTTCTGAAATTTAACCATCAGTCTTAAGAACATTGAGAGGAGAGGTGTTTGATCTTGCTGATGAATAAGGTGACCAAGATGCCTTTTCCTTATGCTCTTGGAATCTTTGGAAAACTGCAGAGGAGTAAACATTCAATCAATTATTGAATAACCAGTGTTTGTTGAATATTGTGATGAGCATTTTGGTGACTATTGTGTTGTTGATTGAGTCAAATAGTGGGGTTTTTTGAAGTGTCATGATGCAGGGAGGCATGTCCTTCAACACAAGTATACTTTTCATGCATATTAAGAATTGATCGTGACTGCTCAGGGATACTTGGGCAAAATGCTTGAGCCAATGGAGAAGTTTGCCTTGCCCAAGTTGGAAATTTAATAAGGACTGGTCAGGCATTCAGCTGACCCTGTGCACCAGACTAGAAGGTGATCAAGGAAAAACATCAGGAAGTCTGGAACCAATTTCCATTCTATTTTTCATTCTGTCCTACTATTAGAAAAAGCCCCGAAGCCTGCTCTGACTCACCTGGGGCTTCCCCTCTAGGTATTCTGTGACTATCACGGCCACTCAAGGAAGAAGAACGTCTTCCTGTATGGCTGCAGTGTGAAGGAGACCCTCTGGGAGTCTGGTGTGCCTCTCCATGCCTTGATTTTTAAGGAGGATCCTGGATACCGGGTATCGCCACTCTTCTTTGGGTTTTCTCCTGTACCGAAATCCGTTTAGAGCTCCAAAGTGTGGCAGCAGCAAAGTCATCCTGCGCAGATTTAATCATTCATTTGGTACTGATAAGACAGACATCTGTAGACTTTCATTGAATAGTATTAAAGCTGTGGCAAAAAGGAAAACGAAAAACTGGTAAAAAAACGCAATGTCGCAAATGTGACAGTTTTTGCAATTTTGTCTTTGACAATATCAAATTAGGAGAAATAATTACAGAAGATAGAGAGAGCATTGTTAAACCCTCAAAGGTTATAATTAATGCAATTAAACTTACAATTTAATATGAGTTCTTTAACTTGGTATTAGACACTTATAACCTGAAGGTGTATAAGTGTAAAGACATGACTTCTCTCACAAGACAAGTTAGTGGAAAATATTTTTATGATACATACGTAGACAAGTCTAAAACAATAATAGGGTAATTTAAAAGTGACTAAAACACAGACGCAGTGAGAAATATTGGATGGTATTTAGTGTTTAATTGTATTTTAATGATTTCTATGTAATTGTCTTGTGAGTTTCAATAGTTTGCTTACAGTATGTGCAAGCATTATATAAATATATCTGCATCGTTAAGGACAGCACCTTCAAACATTTGCCAGTCACATTAAAGAAATTTGAAGCAACACATTTCTGGGATAGGGAAGAACAAATTGTTCTGAAGTGCAAAACTGTCAAACTTACCCTGGCTGTGGTTGTTTCAGACTCTTCCTAAAGTCCTGGACAGAATTGCTCCGGCCTTCTCATTCAACAGCTGCAACTTCCTGGTGGAGAAGTCGCGCGGGTCCACAGCTCGGGTGGTTGTGTGGAGAGAGATGGGGGTCCAGAGGAGCTACACCATGGAGAGCACCTACAACAGCTGTAACCAGGGAGTCTACAAGGTGGGGCGAATTGTCTGGGTTACTTTCAATGTTTGCAATGGAGTTGTATGCAGCTTTCTTAGGAGACCATAGCATGTGGCATTGCACTGAGGGTAAAACAAGATAAATGACTCACTGAAGATATTATGTATCTTAAAGGGTACCTGCAGAGAATTCAATTTTTTGTAAAAGAACTAGAAGGAAATTAGCTTAAGACAATTCATCAGTGTAATATCTGCTATCAAGAGCTCTTCAGGATGAAGTGGGTGTGCATGAGTAAGGACCTTGTTTGGTGTCATTGGATACCAGTGATTTAGAGATTTGATCAGCTTTGAGATCTAACTACAAAAACATGCATTAAAACATTCTCTTTCCAGAGCTTTAACTCTCTGGACACTGTTCACATAAAGAGCATTAATCCAACTACCTCGAATTCTGCAGCTTTATTATCAAGTCTAAAATCTGTTTGCTGTGCTATATTGCAGCAGAATGGTTAATCTGGGCATTTTGTCAGACTTGTGTAGATTTGTTGTACTGCAGCTTATTCATTTTCTCAATGTTCTTGGTGATAAAGCATTGAGTATTGTTGTGTCAACGGGCAGGAATAGCCAGTAACCAACCAAGATGTCAGATGGCAGTCAATGAGTTCTAAATGAGGAGGCATCTTAATTATGTGCATGACTGCAGAAAAGACATTGATGCATCTAGCTTAAGATTTGGCAGCTTTGGGATCTGTCCTTCGGGGGTCCTGGTCATTTGTCTAGATAAGTGCATCCAAAAACGACAGAAGGGAACAAAAGGATGATGGAAGACAAACCAGACAGGACAGTGAGAAAGATAATTTGCTGTTGCAGCCCTCATATTTATGAGCAAAATAACCAAGACAATACCTCCTAGCTCTTCTTCCTGAAGATTTAGTACCTGATCCAGGTAATTTATCACTCCCTACCTGTTCTTGCTGTATATTAGAGAAGGAAGGTACAGTTTCTGCAAAGCCACTACAGAAGAGACTCTTCACCCTCAGATCTTAGCTGTGACATCATCGCTTCCTCCTCATGGCCACAGGCTGCGATATCTCACAGTTTCACTGCTACCACTTTAACACACTGTTTCCTAGGAAACAGGGAGTTGTATGAATAAATGCAGTAATCATTTGTAACAGTGTCATCTTATTAAAATAACACTTTTCCACTTCTCATCCAGCCACTAGTATAATTGTATCTTGGATCAATAATGTATTATGTCTTTTACAATGCCCTTTTAAAAGTCATCAGATGTGGAGGTTTGTGATTCTTCTTCATGAACATGTGCTGTACACTGAAGAGGCTTGTCCCTGTATTAAGAATGATCTTTCGAGTTCTCTAAGAAAAATGACTGCACCCAACACGTTCAAACAGAAACAGCCCTTTTAGCTCAGTCTCCACCCTGATTGAACATATTTGTCTGCACAGCTCTTGGCATCTTGAAATAATTTGGATGAGGCCTCTGAAAATGTTGCTCCATGAATAGAGCCGCTTTGCCACACACATTTAGTATTGCCTCAGAATGCTCTACAAGCAAAATAAAAAGAACAAAGATGAAAAATCAGCAACTTAGTCATCACTTTCTCTTTATTAATTTACAGCTTTGCTGTTTTTTCTTTTGCAGGCAATTAAGAAAAGGTCAAGAGTATTATGATAAAATATTATCTGCACACTGTCCAGAGAAGACTAGCTTTCCAAGATAAAAAATGCATTTCTCTTTAATCTTAAAATGAATTTATTTCTAAGAATATTGACAATTAATGCTCCATTCCTGTTAAAACTAAACAGAAAATGCTTGTTGTAATATTTCAGTGGAGGTCCTGCTATAGATATATAGGCTAGTATAATGTTTTAGGCTTAACATAATTTTAAATTCCAAGTATTCTTAATATTTGCAAAGCTTACATTGAATGTTGATCAATTAGTGGTTTATACAAAACTTAAGCTTAATATTTCACTTGTTTCCTGTGATAATGCCATTTTCTGAAGATATAAAACCATCCCTTAGTTTTATTTAAAAGTTGGGCTAATTCAGGGACTGAGTAAAAATAATAGAAATTCTCATTTCAAGTCTGATTGGGGATACAGAAGAATTGTAAGCTGAATTATTGTATACTATTTAAAGAATCAAAGGATAACTAGAAACTTCTTACAAACTATCTGACTTATTTTAAATGGATTAATGAAATGACTAAGCTGATATTTTCTCAGAGTTCCAACAGCAGATTCCCAGTCACTTATAATGGGAGGAGGGACTAAATTAATATACTCTAGATGACTAATTTTTATTTTTTGTATAGAAAAAGTTTGATGAATTATGAGATTGATTTGATGATGAGAGATGTTGAAGAATTTTAAAGAGTTAATGAGTTGATGAGATGTGCAGTGTGACGTGTCAGAATGTCGTACAATATCTTTCTGGACATTTCATTGTCATTTAGTGTGCACTCTGTTGTCTGCTTGCTAATTAATCTTTTTAAAAGCTTTACAAACTATTTCCTTTTATATATTTTTTCATTTTTTCATTAAACCATTCATACCACCAATTTATAAGTTGAGATTTTTCTTTTATAGCTTTGAAATGTGATGGTACAATAACTTTGAAATCCTTTGTCCATATGGAAGTTGTAAATCAGGAATCTGGGCCAAACAAATTAAATGCTGGACTTCTGGGATGAGGGCTGGCATGATGGTGCAGTGCTTAGCAGTGCTGGCTCACAGCGCTGGGGCTCCAGATACAATACTGGATCTGGGGTGCTGTCTGCGTGAGGTTTGTGTGTTCTACCTGTGTTGCTGTGGGTATTCACCTGCTGCTAATGTTTCCTCTCACAGTCCAAAAACATGCTGGTAGGCTAATTGTCTTCTGAGAAAATTTACTCAGGTGTGAGTGTGTGTGTCTGTGTGTGAGGGGTGGGGAAGTGGATAGATGGATTTTGGGGGTGATCCACAATTAATGAATTGGGAAAAACACATCTGCAGTACATGAAAGTCAAGCAACCCTCTGGTTGTCTTCTGATTAAAAATCATGTAATGTTTCATGCTGATATCAGACAGGCCAATTCAAGAGGCCATCTCAGTTTTTAGAAGGCCTGAATGTGCAGCACACACCTACTGTACTGTACCTGAAATTAGTGCAAATTTGAAATAATGTGCTGAAATGAAACTTTTGGTAAATAGGGGTTTTACTATGCTCTCAGTCAGTCACTAAGTCAGCCAAGGGGTCTTTGTCAAGAGCTACATAGCTGCAATATCATGTTATTGGCATGTGTATTGCAGAAAGCAAAGGAAAATATACATTGTATAAATACAATAAATTAAAAGCATCTGAATAAATCCTTTCTGTCAAGACTGTTAGGCATTAATTTAAAAGAAAACTCTGGAAAATACTTTCCTCACTGAAGTAAAGCAGCTCTGCATTTTAATGTTTTGGATGAGAAAAGAAAATAAAAGGATTGAAAGAAAACGTATTTTCTTCTTCAAAGCAAAAGACTCTTAATCTAAATTACTGAGTGCTCTTTTTTGTGTTGTGCACCCTGCATGTGAAATTCAGGAGGCTTTACACATCAGAGACAGACCAAGTGTGAGATTTGCACTCCTTAGAACTGTCCAAGAGAGAGTAATGGCATGCGACTTCTGACAAACTGAAATTTATCCATTTTGCAGATCAGCAGTGACAGAGACTCTTGTCATTTCTTGATGCAGAAAGATTCCAACCATCTAAGGGGGGGGGGGAGCTTCAAAAGAACAGTGATTTGCATCACAAAGATATCACCTCCAATCACCTTAAGCATGGAGCTTGAGTGCAAAAATAATGTATTTGAGTTTTAAAGTATAATTTATCAAGTTTAATTTAGCTGAGGATACAAAGATCATAAAACTTAGTTTATTTTTTTCTAAAACAAAGAGTTGTCAGTATTTTCCTTTTTTGATTACTCAATAATTTGAAATAATCTGCTCACTGAGAATGCTAGTGTGCGAGTATGAGTGTTTGTCTGTGAACTGAAATTGGTGACTAGACAGTCCTTATCCTGCATTCAGAGCAAACTATTTTACTAGGGCTCCAGTGAGAAGCACCTTAAAGCACTTTAGTTTAAATGCTTATTGGAAAAGCAAAGTGCACCTACAGTTTGCAATGCCACAAATTAAATAGTCATTTTTTGGTTGCCTGAGACACTCATAAAATTGGATGGTCAGTGTGAATAAAATTCCTGAGGTAAATGTGGTCCTTGTCTTTGGAGTTTTCATCTAATTTGATAATCAAGGAGAGTGACATTATCAACCCAGTTTTACCCAGCCTATAAGAAAAGCTTTTTGCTGTTTCCTGACATTAGAGTGAAAGCAGTTTTGTGTAATGAATGTGTGCCACATACTTTATCCCCCAGTGGTGGTGTTTAAGAATGCTTGGTGTTTTTTTTGTAAATATGTAGATTTAAATAGTGATGGCAGACATAATGAATACATTTAGGTGTTCTTTGTTGAACAGCTACAAAACTCTTATTGATTAATTTATTATTTGGAGGCAGAAGACTTTTTTTTTAAGAACTGGGGTGTATGTCAATGCTGCTCTTCCAGACTGAAATGCTCTAGATTGTAAATATTATATATTTAAGTTTTTAGAATTGAAGGATAGCCAAATAACTTTTTTTTTTTCTCTGAATGTCTGGTTTTACAGTGCATTGAAACATTACCACAAATGCCTCCTGAGGGTGACAAAAATACAGTATTTTCACCTATATTGCAAATATTACTTTCAAGTTCACCGAGAGCCAAATGCAGACAAAAACCGATTGTGAACTCTGAATGACATGGACATCCCTCCTCAAAGGGCAGACAGCACTGCATTAAACCAGCCAGGAGAAGAATGTTGAGTCCTTTAGAATCCCAATTAATGCACTCCAGTGGAGAGGAAGTGAAGCAGTGCCATGGAGGTAGGAATTGTAGCTGAGGGGCAGGAGATAATGAGGAACACTTTTCAGGAAACTGTATTAAGCCATGACT